CCCTAACGTTTGTAGGTGAGCTCGCGGGGCTCAACCGGAGAGTTGCTAACACTGACCCTAGCAAGAGCAGTGCTTCGCAGAATCTACCACCGGATCGGAAACGCGACCCACTGAGAAGATCCGGCGAGAAACTCAGTGGGCTGTGTCTATGGGTTAGTTCGCTCGTCGAGCCCTTCGTCGCAAGCGACGGGTTCGACGAGGACGGTGACTGGTGCTTGTGGTACCTAAAAGCACCGTTAATGGATCAAGGTGGGGTGTGCGTCCTCGAGCGGATTTATAGTCCGTTGCTTAGAGTCGATAATCGTGTACAATAATTTTGTGGCGAGCTATGAACAACAAGCGAGTAATTAGAGATTCTTATCACACGCGATATATCAGTTTTCTACTAATTTCCTTTAAATATAATTATCTTTGATATATTATAATGATGAATACAAATATACAGATCTTATCGAAAACATTCGGAATTCAAGCTAAAAATCTGAACTATTAACTATAATAAACTATTTAAATTTTTGCAAGATTCTAACTAAGTATGTAGTATTTGTCAGTGGAACTGCTTATAATTGTGGGTCAACCTAACTGGTGTCTTTATTCTTATTGTGTAAAATAATAATCATATGTAAATAAAATTTCATTAACCTTCTATTAGCATAATTTATTAAGACGTGATTGTTTTTAAATATCAAATTTTAAAAATCAATATCAAAACGTATTTCTTAGATTAGATAATTTATAGTTAAGACGAATAAATTTTTAATTTTGTACAAAATGTTTGTAATGTAGCCAATCCAATATTTGTGTAAGCAAGCAATATAGGTATGTGTGTAACATAGTTCAATATAATTATAACACCTAGTTATTAGTAACTAAATAATTAGAAAATGAACATAGAACATATTGATTTAAACAAGTCACTAATTTAAGTTTATTTGGAAATTTTGAAAATGTACTACAAGAAATAATGAAAATTGAAGAAGATGGTATTTTTGTTTCTTTACTTCTTCTTTCATCTTCTCTCGCGACTGACTTTGTTAACTGAATCTATTTTTGTAACCGTTGAGATATTAACTATTCTTAAAATTTATCGAAAATTTTAATGAATATTAAATTCTATTGCACAGTAATAATTGATTTTCGAGAAGTTTTTTTTATAAAAAAATGCAATAATAAGTACAACTCATACTTACATTTACGTAAATAATTATTGTAAAATGATAAATTATAGATTTTTATAATGTAAATATAATTAAGACCTACTTATGTAATTATAAGTCCCTGTGTGAAGCAAATAAAAAAAAATGTATTTTGCTGAGAAATTCTTCATTTATTAACGTTATCTTCTAGTTTTAAACGAATGTAAATTCGAATAACCTTATCTTCCAAAAACTAGCACTAAGCTAAATATTCTAAATTCACACCTGACATGTTGAGATTGTATTATTTTTCCAAATATGATAGATAATGAATGTAAGTTGAGTACAATTGTTTTTATCAGTTAAAAAATATTTGCTGTCTCCACGACTCGTTAGCAAACTCCCGTGTAAATACCTGCGCCGCACCATTCGGTTGTGTAATGTCCGCGGACCGCCACTACACCAGAGAGGTGAATAAATGTGTTCTTATATGTCATGGAGTTTTTACTTGCGCAGAGCAGACGTCTTCTTGCTTGTACTGTCCCTCTGTCAACCTTCAGTTGGGGAGCAGGCTAACCTTTATCCTAAGAAATGGGCATATTATATGGCATTTACTATCAGACGAGTTTTTTTTTTATTGCCTTTGTAGGCAGACGAGCATACGGCCCACCTGATGGTAAGTGGTCACAGTCGCTCATGGACGTCAGCAATGCCAGGGGCAGAGCCAAGCCGCTGCCTACCATAAAAAAAGACGAGTTGCTAGCTCGTCATAAGCAACGAACCCCACCTGATATCAAGGACTACAGGATTCGAACGTAAGTATCGCCGATCACCTGCCGAGAACACGATAGTTTCACGGATATAATCATGACTGGGGTGGCCCAGGGTGGCGACACTAACAGAACTGGATACTGCTAGGTACTACCACGGCCGTCCGGGAGTGAGCATGGAGCTGTACACCCGTAGCTACTGATCCGCCCTGGCGTACTTACTATTCATCATTAGGATACTTTCACCTAAACAAGCATTGCTTGGTCAAGCCAAATGCTTCTTTAATTTTAATTGCGTCGATGGATGACCGAGCTCACGTCCTACCTGACGATAAGTGGTTACCGGAGCCCACAGACACCATAACGGGAATGAGTGACGGCCCACATGAGACGAATCTCAATTGATCTGTTAATAATTCAGTTAAGGTATATACGAGTGTATTGGTTCTGAATCAGCGGGATATCCTGGATACCAGTGACATCGCCCGGTCGCTGTATTGCGGAGACCGGCATCTTTTCTCTGGCGTCGTTATTACTGGTGGTGGGACCTCTTGTGAGTGCGCGCGGGTAGGTACCACCGCCCTGCCTAATTCTGCCGTGAAGCAGTAATGCGTTTCGGTTTGAAGGGTGGGGCAGCCGTTGTAACTATACTTGAGACCTTAGAACTTATATTTCAAGGTGGGTGGCGCATTTACGTTGTGAATGTCTATGGGCTCCAGTAACCACTCAACACTGTGGTGGGCTGTGAGCTCGTCCACCAATCTAAACCATAAAAAAAAGAAAGAAAAAGTGTTCGGTCGTGACACTGCGAGTCTGGTTGTAGTGTAGTGTTGATCGCGAAAAAAGCCCTACTTTGCCTGGGACTCCGAGCAGAGATCGGACGTCAAATGAGAGAGTAAAATAGGAGTCGCTTAGTGCGGTAGAGCCCTAAAAATATCATTGGGCCCGCGGTCTGCTTCCAACATCTTTAGATCGTCAGATCCCACATACACCGCGTGCCCCCGAGGCGGGGAAACCTCGCAGAAGGTTCGACCCCTTGCACGAAAAAAAAGTATGAATTTAAACTTTATTAGAAAAGCCAACATTATACAAATAAATACCTACTTAAATGTCTCAATAATATCGGTTCACAAACAAACAGAAGTATGTCCTGATTTGAATGGAATTAGGCAATCACCTTTAACGACCATAAGAAAATGTTTTTTTTGTTCTACCTGTGCTGATAGCCTTGAGAGGCTATTTCAGCTTCGCCCTAAGATGTAGGTGAGCTCACGGGACTCAAATCGGAGTGGTGCTTACACTAGCCCTAAGAAGAGCAGTGCTTCGCAGAATATAACACCGGATCGGAAACGCGACCCGCTGAGGAGATCCGGCGAGAAACTCAGTGGGCAAAGTATTTATTTACCGACAGACACTTAATTTTTTGTGATAGAAATTTATAAATATATGAACAGTAATTGAATTAGCATACATGTATAGAAATATTAGATTAGTGTTTTGTTTGATTAGCGAGCTCACGAGAGCCCCGCATTAGCGAGTCTGATGTATGACCGCTCGTTAACCGACGATGTTAACTTTGATTTAACACATTCGTTGTACAGTACAACCCGCCCTTCTTATTTTTCATCGTGTGCTATCTGATTTAAAACTATAATGGGACTAAGTTTGTTAAGAAATTAGTTATTACATTGCCTTAACAGGAAAGCTCCAGTTTGGGCACGATCCATATTTCTTTCATTTTTACGGGAAGTGGTGATAGGACCTCTTGTGAGTCCGCACGGGTAGGTACCACCACCCCGCTTATTTTTGCCGTGAAGCAGTAATGTATTTCGGTTTGAAGGGTGGGACAGCCGTTGTAACTATACTGAGATCTTAAAACTCTTATCTCAAGATGGGTGGCGGCATTTACGTTGTAAATTTCTATGGGCTCCGGTAACCACTTAACACCAGGAGGGCCGTGAGCTCATTCACCCATATAAGCAATAAAAAAAAATAAAAAAGTACCGTAGGTTCACGAGTGCTCACATCGGTATTGTTTGTAAGCTGGCTCATCGTGCATCATGCAAATAGTGGTAGCATAGTAAAGGATCCGTACTCAGGATATAAAAAAAGTTTTGTGGTGTCGTGGGGCACCGGATAGGAACAAAGTTCCTTATTATAAAAATATTAATTTTAAGTTCTATTCGAAGTATAAAAAACATAATTATTCGGGTATACATTTTTTATTATGATTTTTTATTGATAAAAAAAAGTACATTACAAAGTTATCAACCTTATTCGCAATGATTTATAAAAGATATATAATAAAAATATGTTATCTTTTGTACGTTATTACAAAGTTAAGTCGAACACTGTGTGCATTACTAATAAAAATCTTACGTTACGGACGTTTTTTCCCGGTTAGGGTACCCCTCCGCATCGTCCCACAAGGAATTTGGTTCCAAAAATTGAAATGGTTTTCGTTCAACTAAGGCTTTTCTTTATGGTGAATTGAGCTTCGACCGACCGCGGACCAGCTAAAGGGTCGTCAGAGAGTGGGTCTGCGCAGACAGAGAGCGAGATTGTAACGAACTCCTTCGCGACTGAACTCACAATACAGAATCTTACAACTTATCGCACAGCTTATGTCGACGTCGCCCAAAGCACGGATCCTCTCGATCCACTAACGGTGCTTTTAGGTACCTCAAGCACCGGTCACCGTCCTCGTCGAACCCTTCGTTGCAAGCGAATTAGCCCACAGACACAGCCCATTGAGTTTTTCGCCGGATCTTCTCAGTGGGTCGCGTTTCCAATCCGGTGGTAGATTCTGCGAAGCACTGCTCTTGCTA